TTTTGGCTTAAACCTGAGTCTGAGCCTGGGATCACTACGCCGTGTAGGGATCACTAAAGTGTCTGGGATGAGAAATAATGGAATGGGCCAGGCAACTGGTGAAAAGCCAGTATGGAAGGAATTAGGTGGCTGATGGAAAAAAATAGTGGAGAGGAAGCTGAGTTGGTATATATTTTTTGACAGCAAAAGCAAAATTTGTTCAACAAAATGGCCATCTTACTGACACAGCATGAACACCACTGGTTGGCTGAAGCAACACTAGTCACAGCTGTAGAGGGTGAACAGCGTGGGGGAACAAAACTTCTCCTGAGACAGAGACTATACGTGATTTAGGGAAACAATACTATGCTAAAAGAACTAGTGCTATTTTATTAAACCATTTTTGAAATTGGGTGGAAAGTAGAATGGGTAGGAGTCTTTCAAAAATTTGACTCCCCCAAAAATAAAAAATTGAGCTAGTCTAGCCAAGGGTAGAGTCTATAGTATAATCTGTTACAATTAAAAGAGTGTCTACAGTGATAGTGCCTTTTAAAGTAGCAAGTATTACAGGAAAATAATTATACTTATCTCAAAGAACTGGAAGGGACCCCAAAAGGTCATAGAGTCCAGCTCCCTGTCTTCACTAGCAGGACCAAGTACTGATTTTGCCCCAGATCCTTAAGTGGCCCCCTCAAGGATTGAACTCACAACCCTGGGTTTAGCAGGCCAATGCTCAAACCACTGAGCTATCCCTAACCTTTTTAATAAGCATTTCTAAGTATTAAAATATTCTAAGGGAAATATGTGATGATATTTAACTCATAAGAGGAGTGTTGTGTTTATCTTGGATATGATGTTTGAGTGTCAAACTCAATATTATGCCTGTGTTAAATTAAGACACTTCTTGAGTAGTCTACTTCAAGTTAAATATGTTTTCTGTTGGATTCAAGATTGTATAAACATTTCCAAACAGACTAGCAAGCAATTAGCTATAAGCTCCTTAATACTTTTTGTTCTTTCCTAGTGTCTGAAGCCTCGGAGACAGGTCAAATGGAGAAATTTGTCTAGGTCTTGCTCTAAAGGTCACAAGGCATCACCTTCAAGTGAGATGGAAATACAAGAACCCAAATTATTGATAGAAGAGGCCATGTCTCACAAAAATATAGATTAGTTAGTATTAAGATTTTGTCCCAGTTATTTTTAGCAAAAGTCAGGGACCGGTCACGAGCAATTAAAAAAAAATTAATGGAAGAAAAATAACTGACAAAATGGGACTGATGGGAGCAGGCCTGAGACCTGAGTCCCACTTTAGAAGGAGGGGTGTGTCCAGCACCCGCTGCCTGGGGTGGCTGGGAGCACTGGGGTCCACCCACAGTGGGTCAGAACTGCAGTGACTGGGAGCACCGATGTCCCTCTGCCACCCTTAGTGGCTCAGAGCGCTGGGTCCCTCCGCCACCTACTGCATCTGAGAGCTGTGGGGCTCCCACCTCCCTTGGTGGCTCAGAGCTCCAGGGCCCTCACCAGCTGACAGCTCTGGCCTGCCACCCTGGGGAAGGAAAATGTCATGGAGGTCTCTGACAGTCACAGAATCCGTGACCTCTGTGACATAATCTTAGTATTATAGAGTATTGCTTCCCTGTATGAGACATAGAATAGTGGAACATAGAGGTGAAAAAGACCCCCAACTTTATTGTATAAGAGGTGTGTGTGATGATTCTCAGGGCACCCGGCCTGTGAGTCACCTTGTTCTCCCTGCCTCCAGCCTGAGAGAGTCCTGCCTGCCCCTAGCTGGGTGTCAGCAGCCTAACACCACCAGCTACTCAAGCACTCTCTGTGCTGTGCCAGCCCTGACTTTGACTTGCAGGCTAACAATATATGCAAACCAGTCCCTTGAATCTTTCTCCTGTGATATCCACTCCGTGACAGTGACTATTCACAGAAATCCCAGATCCTGTGCACCTAACAGTGTTGTGTATCCCTTTACCAGTTTTACCTTAAACACCCTCATCCCCTCCCACCCCCCAACTCTGGTGTAACATACAGCGCTTGTGAGCACTTAAATAAACCTACTTTGTTTTATTGTAAGAAAAAATGGAGAGTTAATTAGAAAAAAGAGAGTGATGTACATAAATGGTGGTAATACAAAACAGTAAAATGCAAACCTGGGTCTATACTTATTAACAGTTACCTTTCCTATCTAATAAAGTACAAGTGGGTCATTTCTCCCCCCTCCTCCCCCCAAGTTCAGTCTCTTGCAGGCTTGGCTGGCTTCACAGGAACCGGGATCCAATTTTTCTTGAGAACATCCCTGATCCCCAAGATGTCTCTTCAGTGAAAGGATGCAGAGGGTCTTTCTTCACCACCCATTATTCTGAATCAGTCTTTTTTGTCTTTATTCACAGCCATGGCAAACCCCTGTCTGTTGCAATGTTCCTTTTTTACATCCAAGTGGTTTGGACTGTTTGTGGTTGTCTCTGATGTTTTCCATTGATAGTCTAGGGATGGAGCAACGCTAGAAAATTGAGCCTGGTATTGCATCACTGGCTAACCAGGGCAAGGTGGCAACTCCCTCATTCTTGCATGGGTCATCACAGAGACATATTATCCTTTGATGACTAACTTTTACTCCAAGTCTATAAAGCATGCTTTCTGTATAAATACATTATGCCTTAAATATTACCTTGCAATCTTGCAATGATTATGAATCTTGAGAAGTTATGAGCTTTCTGTAGATACCTTACATTTTACTGTTTATGGATAAATATCCTCTAAGAAGTGTTTGGTGTAGTGTTTGTCAGGTCTGGGGTGAGAGTTGTTTGCAAAGACCGAGGGACCCATTGGCAAGGAGTCTTTGTGTCACAGAGTGATATTGGAGAGTCCCAGTATAGCTATTGTGGAACTTAGTTAAGAATCCTGACAAGTATTCTGAGGAAAAGGAGAAATAATATCCTAGGTAGCTTCTTTAAGGAGGCCTTGGTAATTGTTTCCACTTCGTGTAGAGAATAGACACAGACCAAAGCAAATGAGACTTTGAGGAGTGATGAACTCTGGGACTTCAGAAATAGGAAGCCACACATGAAGATTGTGTTTGTGAGGGGCAGTGAGACTCTAACTTTAAGATGGTAGAAATCCTAGTGAAGAATAAGAAAGAAATAAGGATTCCTAAACAGTCTAATATAAGTAGGAACCTTTACTGGATTCTATCCTTTATTATGCATAAAGGGGTAAGAGAAGGAAAATTATTCAGTCTGTTAGAGGCTTCCTTCTGGGTTCAATACTGAATAAGAGCTGGATGGTAAAATACATGAAAATCACAAATAGCATCTCTATTAATAATAATAATAAAATAGCTGTTTAATAAAATGGGGACATATTTGCATATATCTACAAACTATTCACTACGATTGTGGTGTATAGAGTTCACACCTACTTTCCTAATCCCCTATGTTTCTTGTACATATGTTACTCGTGGGGGGATTCTGCGCCAATGTGGGGGTGCAGAATTCATATGGCTTGCATGTTTCTGTGACCCCCATGTGGAAAAATGCAATAAAACTCTGCCGGGAGACACGCGCCTCTTCCTCGGAAGCGCGTCTGTTCCAGTGTGCGTGGAGCAGCCTCTGAGACAGGGGAGAGGGGCTGGGGCTGAGTGTACATGCATGCCAACAAGTGAGAGAGAGAGAGAGACTCCTTCCCCTTTGCTACTGCAGTTTACTGTAAGGGTAGGGCTTTTTATTATGCATGAAGCAGGATAGAGGCACAATTATGTGTCCAATAGTTTTATGACTGACTTAATCCTGTATTCCTGTTTGGTTGTTCCATTTTCCCTCATGTTATGTAAGAATCATAAAAGATTAGGGTTGGAAGAGACCTCAGGAAGTCATCTAGTCAAAGCCCCTGCTCAAAGCCAGACCAACCCCAAATAAATCATCTCAGCCAGAGCTTTTGTCAAGCTGGGCCTTAAAAACCTCTAAGGATGGAGATTCCACCACCTCCCTAGGTAACCCATTCCAGTGCTTCACCACCCTCCTTGTAAAAGTTTTTCCTAATATCCAGACCTCCCCCACTGTTATTCAGGACAGCAATTAAGTAGGGAGGAAGATAATTACTGTGACTGCCCTTGAAACAGAGTTATAGGGATTGAGGAAGTTAGGCCGTAGCCTCAGTTTAATACTCAGACATAATCAGAGTTAACTGTGGCATCAACATACCTTTCACCAAGCTGAATCTCATTTTAGTTCAGGCCTTAGGCCTCATACCAGGCCTCTGATACAAGGGTTTATGTTTCAGGGCCTCATCTAACTACATTTTACATTACTACAACAGCCAGCGCAGTAATTTCTGCAGTGATTCACATCCAGCTACCCTCCTTGGGTCAATGGTGCGCGTCTTCACCAGGAGTGCTTCCACTGACCTAAGAGGGGAGCCAGTGGACTTGGACTCACAGGTTGAGCGGCAGGGCTGTTTCATTGCTGTGTAGACTTCCTGGCTTGGGCTGGAGGACTGAGCTCTGGGACCCTCCACCTCACAGGGTATCAACTCATGATTATACTTGGTTGTTGTAGTTTGTCCCTCTCCCTGCTCCCCTCTGTAATATTGCCTGTGTCCTGAATGTATTCTCAGTGTTGCCCACAAGGCTGGGAGTTGTGCCCTGCGCCCTGCAGTAGTGGAGTGAAAAATGGTTTCACCCCTCTAACTATGAGCAGCAGTAATTAGGGTCACTGACAACTACAGGGAGACCTCACCTGACCCTCCAAGTTCAGATCCCAGCTGCACAGGCTCAGGGGTCTCACATTCAGAGTGGGGCTCCTGGTCCATGGCTGCTGAAAGCTGAAGTATTTACTTCTGGGGCCACACTTTGCCCTTTGCTGCAGGCATGTGGCCTAACTGAAGCTGAGGGAGTTGCATGGATTCTGTGCCTTCGCTGAGTCTGTCCTCTCTGATGCTTCCCACCTTCGTGGTCTTTCCACTGCCCTGTGGTCGTGTCACCACCTGCTGCCGATCCCTGGTTACACAGTGAGAACAAGAGCAGCCATAGATCACAGCAGCGTTTCCTTCCTCTGCTGCTACAGTTGCTGCTCTTCTCCCTCTTGCAAACTTCTCTGGGGAGCCCTCCTTCCCTGCCACTCCTTTGTTCCCCAGCCTCTTTCCCTCCTGCCTAGCCTCGGGCTCCGCCTCCTGGAGTCCCCTGGCGCAGTACCCCGGCCCGGCGGCGGGGAGAGCGGAACTGTTCCCGGGACTGCGGCTCAGTGCACGCCCAGCGGCCGGGCTCGGGGCAGCGATGGGGGCTCTGCAGCTGGCTCAGGACGGGGACCGGCTGCTCTACTGGGGGGCCGGAGTCGTCACTCTGCTCTTCACGCTGCTGGCAGCCTTCACGTTCCGCCTGCTGCTGGATTACCTGGGGAAGTGGAAGGCGCTGAAGCCGATTCCAGGGGTCAGCCCCTGTTACCCTCTGCTGGGAAATGCTCTGTTCTTCGAGCGCAAAGGGGAAGGTAACGGCCGCTCAGAGACATAGCGGTAACTGCCTGCAGTGCAAACCCCTCTCCCTCCTGGAGCTGCTGCCTGAAGCATCCTCTCTCCAGGGAGACCGCAATGACCTGGGGATCAGCCCCGGCAACAGGGCGTACAGCGGTGTAAACATTTGTTAGGTCTCGGGAAGTGGCTGGGGATTTCCGGGGTCTGTATAAGTAGGAGCTTATTTGCAGCAGTGGAGCTGGACTGGCCCCGTCACTAATTGTTGTTATAGAATAATAGAGCAGGAGTGAGCTGTTCTTATGTTAAAGATTTTTCCCCCAAGCTGAAAACAAAAACAAAACAGTTCAATACTCGGCATCCTGCTGCATTTCTAGATCCAGCCAAAACAGCCAGGCCGTATTACCGAGACTCTGCTTCAACAACCAAAACCTCCCCCAGAAACCTCTGGCAAGTCTTTATGGTTCCTGAGGTATTCCTCCTCCCCCCCCCCCCCCGCTATTTCCAAAGAGTTTATAATCTGATGATAATTTGTTTCTTGAAAACAAGCTCTTAATTGTGATGTCCTGTCCCTTTAACTGTTTGAGCACCCCCCCCCCTTCACCCCATTGCAAAGCCTCCTTTCTGTTACTTTCTCTTTTGCAGCCGTAATAATAGTTACTACGGCAGACAGCTGTGTTGCTTTCAGCTCCCTCTATGTCTTGGAACAAACGTAACATTACACTTGGACGAATTGTTTGTTTTGATTTTTACCAAATATTTCCTAACTGATGTCAAATATTTTTTAACATTCAAGAGTTCAAAAGGATATTTTGAAGTTTGCCTTTTTCAGAAGCTACCATTCTACCCCTGTATGCTTTGAAATCCATTTCTTGCCTTTCAGTGAAACTTTAGATACCCTTGGTCAGCCTCTTTATGGTTAATGCATTTAAAAACAACTGCCATGGTACATGTTTCTCCACTAGATTATAAGGTAAAGGAGTCATGCTAAAGCGCTGGATAATTACATAATTAGATGAGCCTCTTATGTTTATAAAAATTATTGTTTCAGAACAAACTTTCAAAGTGTAGCAGTATTTACTCAAAACTGGAACAGTTCCACATTAGGTGTTATGCATCCATTCATTATGCTCCTCTGATTTTCAAGACAAATCAGACATTACTAGTTCTTTTTCTACTGTGAGATTTTTCTATATTCCTATGAGTCTTAGTAAGGTGCTGAAGTTATTGTGCCTTTCTCCACAGTGAGATAGTAAAAATATCAATGTGCATGGATTTCTGTTTTTATTGTACCTGTGCAAATATGGGCTTTTGTGCTATATTATTGAGCCTTGATTTTTTTAACAAAAGGGATCTTTCAGTTAAATTATACCTGAAATGGAATGAAGAAAAAGGGTTATTTAGTTGCTTTAACTTTGCTGCAGGGTGGGTGTGGTGGTTGTGCTGGAGAAGACAATACTATAAATGTATAGGGCCAATTTCTGTCACAAACTTAGAAACAGGCAACTATTTTTGGCAGAACTGGCATGATTGTGACAGAGGGCTGTTTGTAGATACCCTTGCATTGTCCGGAAGTTGCACACCCACATTAAGATAAGTCACAAGACCTCATCCCTTGGCTTCAGATTGTATGCTCTGAGGGGCAGGGACTGCCTTTTAGCTCTGTTTGTGTACAGCGCCTAGCACAGTGGGGTCTAGGTCCATGACTAGGGCACCTGGGTGCTATGGTAATACAAATAATAATTATTATTATTAATATTCCCAGCCATCCCTTTATCCTGTGTAATCCTAGAAAAGCAAATCAAGGTTGTATTTTAGTCTTGTCAAATTGTTGTTTACATTATGACATTATTAATATATTGTTCTGTTAACATCAGCTTATTAATAACTGTCCAAAGTATTCTAGGTGTGTTGCAAAATTTTGTGAGTTTAATGCTCCTGCTGGTGAAGTTTTTTCTTGTTAATGTCATTTGGGAAAACAATAGGCCAGATCTGCAGCTGGTGTAAATCCAGTGTATTCAATGGAGCGCTGCTGATTTACACCAACTGAACATCTAACCCGGTGAATTTTATCTGGTGTCGGGATATCCCAAAGGTAGCTGATCTGCTTTATTGTTAGCTTTTTGCTAAATATACAGGCTCAGTCCTGCCTTCTCACACTTGTAGAATTTTCATTAAAGTATAGATTAAGATCTAGTCTTGCATCTGCAAAATGCTTCTGTGGCAAAACAGAACTATAGTAGATGTACTATAGGTAAGAGAGAATTTTCCATTTGGCTCTGTTGCCAACAGTTGCATATACGGGACCATGAGCTGCAAGCCGATCTCCTAGACAGACTCTAAATGGCTCTCTGCTTTCTTTAGATGATATAGAAATAAGACGGATAGAATAACTTAGTTTCCAAAACTAATATGGTTTTAAAGAGGTATTAATAAATAATGTTATAAACTGTGAGCTGTATTTCACGTTGTGTTCTTCTATCTGCAAAATATGAAGTCCACTTTTTATAGAACTAAATAACTCCTGGACTTAGTATCTTATGTAATTATTTTATGTGTAATTAACATACATCTACCACAACTCTCTTACTAGAGAAACAACACAAAGTCCATTTATAGCACATTGTAAATAACTGTTATGTAACCTTTTGGACCCTTCCCTACCTGCTGGAGCTAAGGCAAATGCAGCCGGCACATTGGCTCCTCTCAGCACCTCCCACTCCATGGCCCCAACAGCTGCCACCACAGGCCTTCTAGATGTGGAGCTTTAAAGTTCCAAGCTGCCCCAGAGCTCTTTGCCGCAGCACAGCTACCATGAGAAACTACAATGGCCTGGACCTTTACACTTGGGCAGGGAATCCATCTAGAGACTCTGGGTCCCAGTTGGTACACAACAACTCACAAAGAGCAGCTTCTATTAGCCACTAGGCCAGCACAGGTTGTTTGGGGGTGGAGCTTTGAAGCACCAGCCCCTCAAGAGGCCTCAGAGACCCAGGGGCCCTTTATCCTTTAATCAAACTCCTGTGAGGGCCAATTAAAACCATGAGCAGACATTCCAGCACACAGCCCTATGTTGGGCCCCTTTAGATGAACCTCTGCTTGGGGTAGGTTGTGGTTGGTGGACTTGGCATCCTCCTCCCTGAATCCTCTGTTGCTGTGGCAAGAGACACTCTTCTCCACAGAGCTGTCTCTAAGGGGCGATTGGGTGTTGTTGATGTCCCCACCTACACACAAAGAGCCTTCTACTTGCGTGGTTGAATGCTCCCATGGACTTTTGCTTCAGGAGGTAAGACCGCACTCAAGCCTCTGTTCCAGTAGGTGGGAAGTGCAGCCCTCCTACATACTCATACACACAGAACCCTGCTGCTAATGGTAGCAGCTGTTCCCCCTTCCAAAAGCCTAACTGGCACAGTCTCTCTGTTGATTTAGAAAGACCAGGCAATGCTGCATCAAATCATACTTGGGTCATGTTTGGAAGGTTATCTCCACAACCACAAGGAGCAAAAAGCATAGATTCTATGGAAACCAATAGCTCTCACTTAGGGAAGATTCCAGGTCTTCCTGTTTGAATTCCTGGCCCAGGGCGGGCCTGGAAACCAGTTATAGAGCAGACAGGTCTCAGTTTTGGAAATGTTATAGTATTTTATTTGGAAAGCCAATGAGTGTCTTTAAAAGCAGAATTTTGTTTTGATCAGGGTAAGCATAAATAATGCTTCTGTAGGAATGTCTTGCCAGTGCCAGGGAAATTTTCAAGGCTCTGGGTTGTTTAAATATGTTTATTTTGCATCATACATTCTGATGAAGATCTATTTGGCTGAACTGCTCTTTTTACATGTCATTTCTGACTTTGTTCTATGACATAAGTGGTTAAAAAACCATACACGAGGGCCACAATCCTGCCATTTGCTCTGTAGAGGTGCAGGGGGCTGCCTGTGTGGAATTCCTTGCAAGTTCAGGGCCTAAGACAGCATTTGCTACATTTATATCTATCGCACACACACTTTTCTTTTAAAAGAACATTATGAAGGTTTTCAAGTCAAGCACTCAAAAGTTAGAAAATGCCAGCATTAAGGCTGGCTATACAAACTTAAAAGAGCTCCTTTGTGTGTATGGCTTATGATATAGACTTTAGTTACGTGATCACATACTATATTTTCCATAGGATCCCAGCCTCATTCTGCTGTAGGATAGACAGTGCTCAATTAATGAGCAGCTATTCAATGTTTTATTTTAACCACACAGTTCAGTATGTTGCCATAGGCCGTATTTACTGCATGCAACTCGAACTGTGATATGAAGGGGCTCTTCTATGATACTGATCACAGTAGTATTCATCTGCTTCCCAAACATTAATTAATTAATTTTTGTATCACCACTGTGAGGTGAGGGGGTATTATTATGGGGAAGTGAGGCACAGAGAGATTAAGGTAAAAAAAATCCACTAATTTTAGGTGTCCAATCTGAGATGCTGAAGATGTGATTTTTTTATAGTACTTAACAATGTATCACCCTTTATATATTCAAGCACAGCTCCCGCTGACTTCAGCTGCAATTATAAGCCCTCAGCACTTCTCCTGAGGAGGCCTCACTTGGGCACCCAGAAAATGAGGAACACACAATTAGTGACTACCTTTGGAAAATTTGGGTTAAGGGACCTGCAAAGCATCACACTCTGTGGCAGAGGCAGGGATAGAAGCCAGTTCTCCAGCGCAGAATTCCACTATCTTAACCACTAGATCCTCCTTTCTCTTCCTGCAACTCCCTGCCCTCATTCACTATGCATAGGGCCCTACCAAATTCACGGCCATGAAAAACGCGTCACAGACTGTGAAATCTGGTCTCCCCCCACAAACTCTGGTCTGTTGTGTGCTTTTAGCCTATACTGTACAGATTTCACAGGGGGAACCAGTTTTTCTCAAATTGGGGGTCCTGATCCAAAAGGGACTTGCAGGAGGGTTGCAAGGTTATTTTAGGGAGGTGGGGGGTTGCAGTATTGCCACCATTACTTCTGCGCTGCCTTCAGAGCTGGGCGGCCAGAGAGCAGCAGTTGTTGGCCAGATGCCCAGCTTTGAGGGCAGTGCCCCACCAGCAGCGGGGCAGCAGTAAGGGTATCAGTATTGCAAACCTCCCTACAATAAACTGGTGACCCCTCCCCGCCAACTCCTTTTTGGGGTCAGGACCCCTACAATTACAACACTGAAATTTCAGATTTAAATAACTGAAATAATGAAATTAATTATTTTAAAAATACTTTCAGCGTGAAATTGACCAAAGTGGACTGTGAATTTGGTATGGCCCTAACTATGCGCCTTCCAACTTCTATAACAAATGGAGTACGGATCCTATAGACAGCAGATTCCTTCACTTACGTGGCCCTGATTAATCCTCAGAGCAGGTCCATCCCATGCACTGAATCAGGCACGGGACCCATGGAAAAAATATGTGATCAGGTAGTTAAAGACTGTGTCATAATATATATTCTTAAGGATGCACAGGGAACCTTAACTCTGGCATTTCCTAACTTTTGAGTGATTGATTTTGTAACCTGAACAATGTTTTTAAACAGAGTTTGTGTGTGTGTAATTTTCTGAATTTTTAAAAAAGCAAGCTGAAAACACCAGAAATTCCATCATATGGCATTGAATTGACACCCACATAGTTCATCAGCAAGGTTGAGACCATTAAATCCACCACACAGACCTCTGCCACTTAAACTAATGGATTATCTGATAGCAATAGTACAATATCATCTCTTTGTGGGCCAGCACTAGAGAGGGATGAAACACAGACTTTTCTAGTCAGTTTCACAGATATTTGTTGGCAGCAAAGGAATGATGAGATTAAGGAATCTTGGTTTTTATTCCAGACTCTGGAGGGTCATGTTCTCCACAAACTCTTCTGCCTGTTTTCCCCAAGTTTTGATCCCTTTCTTCCCTGTCCCCTCCAACCTGTTCCTATCTCTGTTCTAGTCCTATATCTTCCTCACTCCTGGGTTCCTGTTCCAGCCCTGGCCTCCTTGCCTACTCAGTCACCTCATATCAGGCTTTTTGTCTCCGTCCCAGTCTTACCCAGCCAGTCTTTGTCTTCCCACCGGTCTCGCTGCCTGAATTCAAATATCCCCATGTTTCCAAGTCTCTCCCCATCCCCACATCCACTTGTCATCTCTTTGCCCAGCAACACTCAGTTTTCCCATCTGGCTCCTCATCTGATTTGCCTTTCCCCTCCCTCTTGTACTGTCTATTGGTCCCAGTCTCCCTCTCAGGATTCTTCATCCAGTCTCAGTGTCCCTCCCTAGCTCCTCGTCTCAGGTCTCTTTTCTCAGCCAGTCTCATTTCTTTCCACCCACCCCAGTTCCTTGTCAGATCTGTCTCTTCTCTCACCTGCTCCCATTTCCCCCTGGTTCCTTGTATCAGTCTTGTGGCCAGACAGTCCCAGTTTCCCTCCCTCCACCCAATCCTCCAGCTAACTGTATCCTAGTCCCCTATCTTCCCATTTCTCTCAATGATTCCTTTTCTCCTTGCCCAATTAGTCCCTGTCTCCCCACCTAACCAGTCTCAGCCTCCCCACCCAACAAATCCCAACATGGCCTTCCTTCCCTAGCTCCCAGTCTCCTTGCCCAGTCAGCCCAGTCTTCCCTGTCCAATCCTAGTCAGAGTTTCTCTCCTCCCACAGTCCCAGTTTCATGAGATCTCTTGTCCCAATCTACTCCTTTCCTTCCCCCTCCTGTCTCCCCCCCCACCCCCGGTCTGAGTTTTGTCCCGTCTGCAGCTTCCTCCTCCATGCTGCCTGAGTACCAGCAGTAGGGTCATGGAGAGTACAGAAGAGAGAGTCTCCCTGCTCTGAGTTATGGTGCCCAGTTGCACCCTAGGCTGAAGCAGCCATTATGGGTAAAGTTCTTCTTAGCCTCCTAACCCGTGGCTGGAGAGGGCATGTGCAGTCCAGTCCTATGCAGGAGCTGTTGAGGGGATGGAGGCAGCTCAGTCACTGTGAGGATGGCACATGCATAGTGTGGTCACATGTGAGGGCAGGGAGGGGATGCAGCATAGCCAGTTGCTCTGTGGGGAGGGCATGTGTGCAGTCCTGTCACATGTAGGAGCTGTGAGGGTGGGGGGATGAGGCTTGGTTGCTCAGTAGGGATGGCACATACGCTTTGGTTGGTCCGGTCACACACACGAGCTGTGAGAGACTCAAGCTTGTTCAGTGAAGAAGGAATCTTCAGAGATTTTTAGCTGTTAAGATCCCACAAGTCTTTACTGAACAAATACAAAATGTGATTTTTCAAAGGCTAAAAATGATCAAATTTGGGTGGATTTTTAGTGAGATGGCACAAGGTACATTCCTGACACACAGTCCACTCCCCTGCATGGAGGTGTTAAGGCATTTAAAAGTAAAGATCTCAAGAATTTTTTTAACATGAGCAAAACAACAACATATTTTTACTTAGACTTGTTCTTGAAATCAACTGAATGGTTTTGGCTTAAATTTGGCTTGTGGTGAGCACCTGGCATGGAAAATTGCAACCCAAACTGTTAAAGTTTGGCAAAATTATAAGCAACTAAAAATGAGGCCTTATAGTGGAAAGTGTCAGGCAATGATAATAATAGGTGGTGACCCTCCGGTCTTTTGTGTAGAAATTTCTCTCGAAATGTGGACTCTAGCATTATTGTGGAATGATTTATTAATCTGCACAATCTCATTTCCCCTTTTATCTCAGATGCTCTTGGTGCCATTTTAGAGGAACTCAGTTAAGGTCTTTGAAAATCAATCAGTAGAGGTTCTCTTGTACTTAATAGATGATCCTTAACCCCAAGGATTTATATCCCATCTATCATGTTGTTCAGAAAAATTAATCAGTTGAGGATGGGCTTGTGCTAATGCACTGGGCTGGAAATCTGGAGAAATGTATTTAATTTCTAGCTTTGCCATAGACTTCCTATGTGACCTTGGGCAAGTTACATAATCTCTTTGTGTGTCAGATCCCCATCTGTAAAAAGGGGATAAAATATTTATACTCTCTTTCATTTGTCCTTTCTATTTTGGTTGCAAGATTCCTGTGTCTGTACAGTGTTTATCACAATCTCGACTGGGACCCCTAAGTGCTACTATAATCAAAATAATAAATAAGTGCAAAACATACATGGTTTGTCACAGTAGCAAAACTAACACTACAGTGAACTCATGATCAATTACATGATTACAGACATTCTGGTTTTGGCCCATTCAAATTGATTTTTCCCCCCACAGATTTCTTTAAACAAATAGTAAACAACTTAGAAGAATACAGGAATCTACCCCTGCTAAAACTTTGGATAGGACCATTACCTTTTGTGATTTTATATCATCCAGATGCTGTGGAGGTGAGTGTTCCTATCTCATGTTTAATAGATTTGTTTGTACAAGTCATACAATTTATGACAGTTATTCCCTAATTTGAAATTTTGTGTTGTTTCATCTCCAGAGTTTACAGTAAACATTGAAAATGGCTGGTCATGAAGGACAGATGCCAGTCACCAAACTTCTTGTTACGTCTAGAGCAGTGGTTCTCAAAGCCGGTCCGCCGCTTGTTCAGGGAAAGCCCTTGGCCAGTTTGTTTACCTGCCGTGTCCGCAGGTCCGGCCGATCGCGGCTCCCACTGGCCGCGGTTTGCCGTTCCAGGCCAATGGGGGCTGCGGGAAGCGGCGCGGGCCGAGGGATGTGCTGGTTGCCACTTCCTGCAGCCCCCATTGGCCTGGAGCAGCGAACTGCAGCCAGTGGGAGCCACAATTGGCCGAACCTGCAGACGCGGCAGATAAACAAACTGGCCCAGCCTGCCAGGGGCTTTCCCTGAACAAGCGGCGGACCGGCTTTGAGAACCACTGGTCTAGAGCTTAGGCTTCATGTTGGTCTCTTCCTCCTCCCTGCCTGCTTTCCCTCCCTCCCTCCCTACTTTTGTGCAGGTGCTTTTAACTCTTGGCACTCAGGGGAGCACAGGGACTGCATGCCAGATGCTCATCCCAGTGGTATGTTGCATGAGCTAAAGGGATGGCACAGTCTAGCCCTGAATAGTTTGTAGTTCGCTTGGAGATAAATGCAAAATTTCTTCTTCTGTCTTTACATTGATTAAAAATACTTCTGTGATTCTCGACTAAGTGAGAGGAAATGTTTATCCAGGTTTTGGACTGTGGAAAACCTTGAACTTCACTTCGCATTATCAACATAACAGGTTCTGAATACAGTTACTGTGTTAATGATCCACTAGTTTAAAACATCAGTGTTGTGCTATTATCTTCGAGGTACAGTTGTTTTTTTATTAGCAAGTGATATACGGGTGAGATACATTTTATTGTATTTATTAAATAAAGTGCATACAAAGAAATCTCTCAACAGGACTTGAGGGCTGATGGAAATGATATAACTTGCATCAATCAGATTAAAACTGAAAAAAGTGTTTTAATTAAAACCATAGGCATTATTGTATAAAGGAGGATGCATTATTTAGAGTAGCCTTAAGGCAACTCTGTTGTTCAGGTATCTCTTCTGCCACTGATTATCAGGACACTTGTTTATGTATTTCAGTGTATAAAATGTGCCCACTACCATCAGCCTCTAGGTGTGTATGTAATTTAGTCTTTAAATATATGCCCAAGAAATTCAGGTTGACCCAGTGTCACCCCTAGGAGCCCCTTCTACCCTATGCCATGGACTGGAGTAAATCTGCCTCTTCACTATGCTCCCCCATTCCTCCTGACCCCATGGAAATGCCTCTGGGGATATATCAGTTCTGTGGACTTAAGAGGGGTAGTTGAATGAGCTGCTGGGCTTCCGTGGACTCTCCTTCTCCTATACTGGTTTGGGAAATACCCTGAGTTCGTATTAACTTGTGCTTTATTTTCTCCCTGTTGAGATCAGCCCTTTATGTAGGATTCAAAATGTATCCAGGTTTGGGGGGAGCCCCTGGAAACACAGCACCTTTAGAGAGCCTCCCAGCTGGGTAGAGAGACACGTGTTAGCTCTGCTTGAGCTAGTTTGCTAAAAATAGCAGTGTGGACCCTGCTAGCCACCCAAGCTCAGGCCCAGGGGGTCGGGCAGGCTTGTACTCTGGCTGCAAGCTTATGCTGCCACATGGGCCTTAACATCCCCACTGCTATTTTTAGCATGTATAGGGTTGTCGATTTTGGTTGGACATATTCCTGGAGGTTTCACATGACATAATCTTTAATTAAAGATTAATCTTTAATTCCTGCAGGCTCCAGGACAATCGTGGAGGGTTGGCAACCTGGAGTAGAGCTAGTGTGTGCCCTACTCAGGCTGGGAGGCATGCTCCCAGCTGCAGTGTAGACACACTCACAGTGACCAGGTTTTTCAGATGCCAGTAAGAACTGGAGAGGCTTCCAAACAGGCGTCACTTGTCTCTTGTAGGCTGCCAACAACTGAGTAGATTTGAATGATACGTAGGTTAAGAAAGCAGTACCCTAATGCCTTTTGCGAGATGGTGAGGTCTCACAGGAAACTCCATGAGTTGAAATCCATGGAGTTTCAAATACCTTACATGAGTTGTGTCCCACATACAGGAGGATGGAGCCCTGAGACCCTCCCCATTCAGACCCTCAGTAAAAAGCCTGGTAAACAGATAGCCTTTATAACCTGCTCAAAAAGAAAGGCTGCTGAGGAAATGGACCCAAAAGGAGTGATTAGGGCCTGATTCTGCTCTTACTTGCACCAGCTTAAAGCTGCAGAATTCCTATAAAAATCTACTAGCCCAACTAAAAATCCAGGAGGCTGGCAAAATGATCCCCGCCCTTTCCCAAGAAAACAACCCATTTTTTGCCTCTGAAAGGACTCTTCTTCACAAACTTGTGGTTATCGCTCTCAGCTCCGCTTCAGAGACTGACCTCCCTTGTCTGGGAAGATGTTGCT